CAACCAACTCCTACCATTCCTCACCACACTGGTCCACTCAGACCAGATAGGTTTTATCCCCTCTCGCCAAGCCAGTGACAAGACCAGGAGGATGCTGGACCTGATCTGGGTGGCCAACCGACGCTCTATCCCAACCTTATTCCTATTCCTCAACACCAAGAAGGCATTTGACAGATTGCTCTGGCCATTTCTTTTTGCTACCTTGGGAGAAACTCAGATTTCCCAAACCTTTCCTAAACGGGCTGCAAACAATATACTCCAACCCCACTGCCAATCTCCTCATACCTAACACGAACCCACCTACATTCTCCATACACAATGGAACGAAGCAGGGATGCCCACTGTAACGGATCGCCTGGCACCCCGACTGGGTACCTCCGTTGAAAGATGCTCCTAGCGCTTCCTGAGGACTCCAAGCACTGCAGCAGACACCACAACCACCGAACCGGAGAAGCATATGAATCCTCTCAAGCATATGAATGCCGTAGACAGTTGAATAGGAACCATACAAATAGGTTTACTCTCCTAGCAGTCAAACTGGAACAGCATACAATAAATCCTTCCCCCAATAATGAGACGACACTTCACTTTGAGGGTTAAAACAGGAACTCCCTGTACTGTCACATACAGTCTCTTTTATTCCCAATCCACAAACATAGTACAGCCCACAGGGCGTTACAAAACAACCAATCAATCCGTACAATACACCCAGACACTCCCACACAAAATCCTCCCCTCTGCATGTGATATGATTACTGAACACAATGGGTAATCTCATTATCACCGGCAGAGGAATACAGTTTTTACACAATATTTATAACTTCTAAAATATACATGTCACAAACATAAAACATACATTTTCATAATCAATCCATTTAGGGGAACAACATATAAAAAAATGGCACGAATCAGACCAGGGGTTCAAAAGTTAAGGAAAAGTCCTTTGTGACTAAATGAAGCCTGGCTTTCTGGCCCAAACCAGTTTCAGAGTCTTCTATCCTGGAGAGTAATTCAATTATCTCCCAGGACAGACACAAGACTCCATTAAGCACATGGTTGCAAAAAGACACAAAACACTTTAAAATACATAAAGTCACCTTTTACACATAACACACAGACATTTCACATATCCCCAGATAGCTGGGATCTGAGCGCACATTATTAGATGAATGGCACTCAGATCACACAAATAAGCCTTTCTGCAGGGGAAATAAACGGTTTAACCTGCAGGGCCATAGTCCAAAGGGAGCAGGCGAGCAACCAGGCTTCTCTAGTTCACAGTGGCGAGGTTGGTTTCGCCACACTTAGCAATCAGGGTGGTAGCACATCCAACAAAATAATTATTAAAGGTATTTTCTACATCTAGGGGGTGTTGCAGTGTTTGGTTGTCTGTTTTGACAGTGGAGGGTTGGGAGTGGATTGTGGGGTTTGTATGCTATTTATAATTTTCCAGAAGTTTCTTGGGATTGATAGGTTGTTGTTCAGATTTTCACTGAAATATTGGGCCGTTGCCATTTTTGTTTGCTTTGTGCATGCATTTCGCCATTGTCTGTAAGTACAGTACAGATCGTTCATGGAGCCAGTACGATTGAACTTTGACCACAGTGAATCTCTAAACTGGTACATTTGAATGAGGTAAACTGTAACCCAGGGCAGGTGTGTCCCTTTTAGTCTCACTTTATGCAGAGAGGCATGCAAATTCCAAACAAGCAATGAAAAAATGCAATTGCAATGTCTAGATCTGGTATTAGGCCTAATCTGTGCCATGGTAAATTCTTGAGATCATTTAAAAAGCATTCAAGATTATTTTTTTTATTAAAGACCTGGTGATTATAATCTTGGGAGGTGATTTAGTGGCCTTTATTTTGCAAATGCAGTACACTAGACAGTGGTCACTGTTAGGGAGAACACCTGCCTCCTGGATTCTGTCAGGACAACTGGAGAGAGTCCAATCGAGCATGGTATTGTATGGTTCTGGCTTTTAATATTAATGCGAGTTAGGGAGGAAATTAATTGTGTTAGCTATAAAGTCTTCAACACCGTACATGATTTATTATTTTTAGGATTCAGCCAATCAATATTAAAATCTCCAAAAACCAACAGTTCACTTGTCAGAAAGGCTATGTCAGAAAGGGAGTGCACCGGAGAGCTAGGCGGGCGGTAGATTCCAGCAACAATGATAGTTTTAGTGAAAGGGATCTCAATTGTGCCAGAAAGGAAATCAAAGGCAGAAGGGGAGTTATAGTCTTTTAAAGGAGTATATTTTATGGACTTGTCAACATAAATAACAATGTCTCTTTGCTCTGTCTAAAACATGAATAACCCTGTATTGCAATGGCGGAGTCTGGTATTTTAGTCATTAACCATGATTCTGAAAGCACAATGATTTTTGGTTTGTAATGGGAACACCAGGCTTGCAATGCATCCAGTTTAGGGAGTAAGCTACGGATGTTGCAGTGCACAAAAGAGAGGCTTTTTTGAGTGGGGAGATTAGGACTAGAATTAGCTGGGGGACAATGGCTAGATTCCACATCATTTGCAAGGGCAAGTTACATAAAGAATAGCTATTTGGACATCATTTTTGTTTGGCCATATAGTGAAGGAGGGCTACTTTTTTATAACTCTCCACCAGCATTCAGCAGATAAGTTACAGCAACAGAGCAGGCCATGGTGAATGTTTTCCAGATCTAGTGACATTATAATATATTTTTACTTACTTCAAGGTTTGCCATTAACCACACTTCATACAATCTAACTACACAGGGCTAGTCGATATGATACCTGTTTTGCCTTCTTTAACTGCAGACGGCACATACTTTTACTTGTCTGTTCATCCAGTATCCCAACTTTTAACTGTAAGGATCATTATTTTGTAGACATGTGCAATTCGTTTGGTCCGAATTGCCGAAGTCCTGAAATTCCAAAAGTACGAAATTTCCAAAGTGTCGAGGTGCCGAAGTTCCGATGTGTCGAAGTGCTGAAGTTCTGAAGCACAGTATTGCCTAAGAACTAATATACTTACCCAGTGGAAGAATGAAGAATGTTACACTGTATACAATTTTAAATAAAAAGTATACAAACATAGCCAGGATTCAGCTGTAAGCATTTGCAACACTTACAACAATCAAAAGTTACTTAGCCAGTCAATGTAATGACAGGAATGAATAAGTAAATAACTCCCTAATTCACACGGTATCAGGGAGTTATCTACCAAAAGGCTGAAAGTCCTAAATTGGTCTTTCAGCCAAATTTACTAAGACTAAGTATAGATTACTTAGTATTAGTAAATTATGCCCCTACTCGCTGTTTAGTAAACAGAAAAAAAAAACGACCTATTGACCCCCCCCGGCCCCCACCCGGGAACGGCAGGTGGGGGCCCTAGAGTAAATAAGGGGGAGGACCTATTGTGGGGGCCCTAAATTAGAATAAGGGTGGGGGACCTAATGTCCTCCCCCCTGACCCCCACCCCTGAGCGGTGGGTGGGTGCCCTAAATACTAATAAGGGGGGGACCTAATGTCCTCCCCCCTGGTCCCCAACCCTGAGCAGTGGGTGGGGGCCCTAAATACTAATAAGGGGGGACCTAATGTCCTCCCTCCTGGCCCCCACCCCTGAACCGTGGGTGGTGGCCCTAAATTAGAATAAGGGGAGGACCTAATGTCCTCCCCCCTGGCCCCCATCCCTGAGTTTTGGGTGGGGGCCCTAAATACCAATAAGAGGGGGCCCTTTTGTCCTCCCCCCTGGCCCCCATCCCTGAGTGGCGGGTGGGGGCCCTAAATAAAAATGTAACCCCCCAGGTGACTAGGGGTCTTCACACCCCGAGTCACTCCCCTCCCAAAAAAAACTAACCCCTACCTACCCCTCTCACCCTAAAAATAATGAGGGGGGGCCATTAAGTACCTGTAAACATGCGAGTAGGGGCATGTTTAGTAAACCTTTTGGGCCTATTGCCCCCCCGGCCCTCACCCCTGAACGGCGGGTTGGGGCTCTACAGTAAAATAAGGGGGAGGACCTATTGTGGGGGCCCTAAATTAGAATAAGGGTGGGGGACCTAATGTCCTCCACCCTGGTCCCCACCCCTGAGTGGTGGGTGGGGGCCCTAAATACCAATAAGGGGGGGACCTATTGTCCTCCCCCTGGCCCCCTGAGCGGCAGATGGGGGCCCTAAATAAAAATGTAAGGGGGGGACCTAATGTCCTCCCCCCTGGCCTCCAACCCTGATCAGTGGGTGGGGGCCCTAAATACTAATAAGGGGGGACCTAATGTCCTCCCCCTGGCCCCCACCCCTGAGCGGTTGGTGGGGGCCCTAAATACCAATAAGGGGGGGACCTATTGTCCTCCCCCTGCCCCCCCCCCCTGAGCGGTGGGTGGGGGCCCTAAATACCAATAAGGGGGAACCTAATGTCCTCCCCCTGGCCCCCAACCCTGAGCAGTGGGTGGGGGCCCTAAATACTAATAAGGGGGGACCTAATGTCCTCCCCACTGGCCCCCACCCCTGAACCGTGGGTGAGGGCCCTAAATTAGAATAAGGGGGGGACCAAATGTCCTCCCCCCTGGCCCCCACCCCTGAGCGGTTGGTGGGGGCCCTAAATACCAATAAGGGGGGGACCTATTGTCCTCCCCCTGGCCCCCCCCCCCTGAGCGGCGGGTGGGGGCCCTAAATAAAAATGTAAGGGGGGACCTAATGTCCTCCCCCCTGCCCCCACCCCTGAGCTGCGTAATTTGACTCATAACACTCTGATTGGTGGATTGAAAGTAAGTAATCAGAGAGTTATGAGTCAGATTACACAGCGTGGGAAAATTCCAAAGAACTTTCCCAAGCTGTGTAAAATGAGCCTTTAGTTTAAAAGCCCCCACTCGCACGTCGCGGGTGGGGGCTCGGGAGGTGGGACCTTTTTTTTTTAACAGTGAGCACTGTTTAATATACATGCCCCTACTCGCGGTATAGCGAGTAGGGGCTTAATAACTAATACGAAATAATTTTTAGGTCTTTCAGCCTTTTGGTAGATAACTCCCTAATACCGTGGGAATTAAGGAGTTATCTACTAAGCCGCTGCAAGAGAAGTCCCGAAGTCCCGAAATTCCGAAGTTCTTAAATTCCGAAGTTCCGAAGTGTCGAAGTGCCGAAGTGCCGAAGTGCCGAACCAAAGTGCTGAAGTCCAGAATTTCAGAATTCTGAACCGAACCGAAAATTTTCCCCATGCACATGCCTATTGTGGCAGAACCAGCCTCGCCACAGGGCACTGGAGAAGACTGATTGCCAGCCTCCTGCCATGTGACTATGGCCCATGGGATGTATTGCCTGCTCTCCTGTACTGCTGAGGTTTGCTACCAACTAGGTGGATTTGGCTATGGAGCTTGTCTAGTGCCCTCTGCAATATGCACTACCTGAATAGCAAGACTGGTTAATTTGCATATTCGGGTAGATTTGCATATTGCTAATTCTGCAGGCATGTGAGATATTTTCTGTTAATCATTGTCTCCCCGACCCCGATATGCCATTGTGTTATAATAAGTCACTGTATGTTGCCTACTATGATTTGACTGTTTGTAATTTTATTGAGTTTTCACAGCAATGTTAATGTAATGACCATATGGGCTAGATCTAAGGAAAATAAAATTTTAGACAGTTCTTCTTGATCCTTAACATGTAGTCTTGTTTTGTGATTGGAGGGGACAGCTATACTCACACTGGGGATTGCTATTCTCTGCATACTCCCCTGAGCTTTAATCACTTAGCTCTTTTAAGATCTTGTTCCTGATACGGTCTCCTGGAGGAGAGGTCTTCCCCACACGGTCCTGGAGGACAGAAGCTGATCCAGGGTGGACAGAAGACGGCGAGACTCCAGTTAAGCTACGGCAGTTGTGGAGTCTGCAGTGGTGTCCGGTGCGGTGCTTGTGGTCCTCGACGCAGGCTAGGAAGCGTCCATCAACGGAAGGTACTCGGTCGGAGTACGGGAGATCCGCTATTATTTTGCTACATTATTTTATGACACATTTTCAATCTAACTGCTTGATGTACTGTTCATTTGAGACCCTTATACCATTCAAGTTGCATACTTAGCACAGATGCCCATTCTAGCCACTATAACGCTACAATACAACATCTCAACTTCAAGATCCGATTTTCCTGCCTCTGTTTCTGAATGCAGGCATATGTTGCTGGTTCGCTTATATAATCGACAAGTCGTTACATGGTCACCTGAATGTATGTGCCAAAAGTTTTTATGAGGGGCAAATACTTTTACACTTTGTTTCCTATTATTGTTATACTGAGCCTCTGCGAAGAGTCCTCAAGATTGTATTTCCAAATGTTGATTTGCTATGCTTCTGCGTAGGCAACCAAAACCCTTTTTTGTTCTGTTAGTAGAATGTATGATCCCAAATGGCGTTTCTAAATAAAAAACAATATAAAACAAATACTATACATTTCAAATGTGTTGAATTAGCCTTTTAGCGAGAGGGACAGGGTGGATGGTGCATCAAGGGATACATGGCATGCAAAATTTAGTTCTGTCAGCATGTGTCTGACAGTATCTGCTTGAGTGTGTGTTAATGTATGTATGCATATGTGTGTGTATATATGTATATATATATATATATATATATATATATATATAAATATGATTGGAAATGACCGCACTCCAAGGACTTGTTGATGGTAAAAATAAAATATAACTTTTATTCTATATCATATAAAAAAAATCGACGTTTCAGCCCCAATACATGGGCTTTCATCAGGATGGCTTGCAGACAGTCACACACACAGATAGTCACACAGACAGACAGTCACACACACACACACACAGGGAGGCAGTCACACAGACAGTCACACACATAGGCAGGCAGACACACACAGGCAGGCAGTCACACAGACAGTCACACACACACACACACACACACACACAGGCAGACACATGAACAGGCAAACAGTCACACACACAGACTTACCTCTTTCCATTATGGCTGGAAGGGGTAGTGGATGCAGTTGGTTGTTGGGGAAGCAGGGACGCCTTCCTGCTTCTCTCTTCCTGTGCAACTTCGGGTAGGAATAAGCCCCGCCTCTTGATAAGCCCCAACCATGCCGCTCGTTAAGCCCTGCCCCCGCTGCTAGTTAAGCCCCGCCCCCACTGCCTCGATATTTTTTTAATAGACCCGGGTGACGAATAATGAAATCCTCCACCCGGGTACCTGTTTTAGCTCCCCTGCACTCCTGTCATCCAGCCATGTGTGAGCTGTGTCGGCCACATGGCGCCCCCTGGTCCATGGCACCCTGTGCGGCTGCACAGCTCACACACAAAACTAGCTCTGCTGTAAATAGCCACCGGATCCGTGCAGGCGACCCACCGATATAGGAGATATGTATTCTGTCCTGGGGAATATATAAAACTACAAAATAGAGTAGCACAGTATATCTTAATAAACCCTGATGCCGAATGGGTACTTACAAACTTTACAAACATAGAGCCCCTGTGGCTCAGTAGTAGCATGTTGTGCAGTTAGGGACTGCACTTTCCAGATGAGTAGTAAATACCGGGAACCTGGATATAAAATTACACAATTTATTAATATACTTATAAAAACAAGAAAGTAGCAATGTCTACCCACATATATGTCTCTGACATTTTGTATCTGTGTGTCCCTGAGAATTTGAGTCTGTGTATGGCAGTGAATTTATATGTGTTTGTCTTTCTGACAGTGAATGTGTTTGGAATATCTGTGCATATGTATGCGAGTACAGTACATGAATGTGTATATATGTCTGTATCAGCATGTGTATAGATATGTGCATATATGAGTTGTTTTTTTGGGTTTTTTTTTTTGCAAACCACTTGGTAGTGTAGTGGTTAATAACAATCACCAACACAAGGAAATCTTCACCGGATGCATTATGGAGATGGACCTTCAGTGGCAGAACTAATGCAGAGAGGGCCCTGGCGCAAGAAATTATTTTGGGCTCCTCTAGAACAAGGGTGGCCAAAGGAAAGATTCCCATTTGTTGTACATATCTCATGATGCATTGCAATCTAGCATTTTCTCATCCTTGCAGGGTTTTACATGTGAGCAGGTTTTGTTTGTTTAAATGTATTTATTATTACGATTTATTACTGGCATATATAAAGCGGCAACATATTTTGCAGTGATGTAAGCATGTTTATTTATGGACTATGTGTGTGAAATGAAGGAGTTTATTTGTGTGTAGGTGTGTGTTAATATGTACTGTTGCTACTTAAAAACAATGGTGCATGTGTGTATTGCGTTTAAATGCAGGGGTGTATTTGTGTGTAATTTTGGTGTTTCTATATAATGCTGGTGTTTTATTAGAGGAGTGTGTTGGCATTTGATTGCAGGGGTGTGTTTGCATATAGTGTTGGAATTTGATAGTAGGAGTGTTTTTGTATGTATGTTTGAATGCTGGCATATATGTATGCATATATACACATGTGGCCACATACAGTGACACTAAAGCACACTAACACACAGATACACACATGTACCCACACTGACAATCACAGACAAACATATACCTATACAGACACATACACACATATACCTTCACAGACACATACACTGGCACCCACAGATACACACATACACACAGATACAAACATATACTTACACATGCACATACACACACTGGCACACATACAAACATATACCTACTCACAAACAAACAGACATACACACATACACACACATACCTACATAGACACACTGGCGCACAGATACACACATGTATACCTACACATACACACTCTCAGACACAGATGCACAGATTTTGTTGTTATAATAAGCATTGTTAGATATTTTCACTTTATTAAATTACTTCTTAAGATCTGCCTAGGCTCAATTTTATTCACAATTCGCTAGAAGGTAAAACTGGTATATCATGTTAACAAATCTTTAACAGATAAGGAAGTATAAATTGTATATTGTATATTCAGTTGGGTTATTGTTAAATTTAATGGGCAAAAAAAAAATCCTTGGTGGTGGTAGCATATCAGTTATTAAATGAGGAGGTGAAGGTAAACTTTGGGGATAATAATAATGTGGTGTAATTTGTTGTCCTAACGCAGGGCCGCCCAAAAGGTTGATCCCTAGATGTTTTAAAACTACAGCTTCCATGATGCTTTGTCATTTAAAGGCATGCAAAGCATCATGAGATTTGTATTTTTACAACATCTAGGGATCCACCTTTTGGGCACGCCTGCCCTAAATTTAGTAAATCCAGATGTTGCAGGCAGGAACACTCCAATATTATAACCACTACAATGTAATATAGTGGTTATGGTGCCAGGTGTGTCCTGGTACCCAAAGTGTAAGTATACAAACTATCTGAGAATAGTTTGACTTCTTCACTGTGGTCTGTCAGGAGCCACGTTCCACCTCTCTGCAGCTACCAGCCCAGAGTCAGCTCATTGGCTGAGATCACCAACAGCACCACTGGACTTAGCTCAGAGCTGAGAGCTTTGGGTGGCAGTGGAGGCAGACAGCGGCACCAAGCAGGTACCAGGTAAGAAGTAAACTATTCTAAAATGGTTGGAAAACTTAATGGGACACCATAGGCACCAAATCAACTTTAACTTAATGAAGCAACATTTGTGTGTAGATCATGCACCTGCAATCTCACTGCTCAATAATCTGCCATTTAGGTGTTAAATCACTTTTGTTTCTCTTAATGCAGTCTGCTCCCCTGGCTGTGACTGACATAGCTTGCATGATAAATATGTTCATTTTAAATTGGACGTTAACTTGATTTAGCAGTTTTTACCTCCTGCTCTGTAAATATAACTTTAATCACAAACAGGAGGCTCTTGCAGGGTCTAGAAGGCTATCAGCAGAGCAGAAGACAAGCAATTCTAAATTAAACATAATTTACAATAAAACAAGATTAAACAAGAGTTATCTCTTTACATCAAGTGTTTAGGAAGGCTGTGCAAGTCACATGCAGGGAGGTGTGACTAGGGTTGCATGAACAAAGTAATTAACTCCTAAATAGCAGAGAATTGAACAGTGAGGCTGCAGGGGCACCATCTGTACACCAAAACTACTTCATCAAGCAAAAGTTGTTTTGCTGCCTATACTGTCCCTTTAAATTGGGGGACGGTTGTCAATGAACCTATGGAACCTATTCCAGACTTTAGAATATGTTAATATGGTTGTATTACTTGCAGAGTACGTATTGTCTGGGTGGAAACAGTGATGACTATTCTGCTCTGGTCTGTCATAATGTATTATGTACTGGATTGTAAAGAGCATGACTGGTTTATCGCCATATGGGCATTTTGAACCTTGCACAAAACCCCCCAAATACCTTTCCCAATAAGACACGGACGCAATGGTATATGAGTAAAATTGTCCACAGCTATATTAAATAGAATCACTTAGAAACTTTAGGTCATTGCCCTATGCCCCTCCTTCACTTCTGTATCCTTCTGTTTGGTATAAAAGGCAATGACCCCACTATAAATAACATATATATATAACATTATACCAACATAAACATCACTTCCAACAATTTATTATAAATTAACCATGGTAGGTGTGATGAAGTGCCCTTCGACACTTGATCCTGGAGAGGCCTGCTTGCCCTGTGAT